CTGCGTGCCGGTCAGGGAGAAGGGACACAGGGTCAGTGCTCTGTGCTGCGTGCCGGTCAGGGAGAAGGGACACAGGGTCAGAGCTCTGTGCTGCATGCCGGTCAGGGGGAAGGGACACAGGGTCAGAGCTCTGTGCTGCGTGCTGGTCAGGGGGAAGGGACACAAGGTCAGTGCTCTCTTCTGGATGACCAGTGTCAGAGTCACAAGTTGATGTTTGACACTGCTCCCTGACCTCCTCAAATTCCTCCTCGTCGTACTCTTCCTCGTTCTCCTGCTCCTCCTCCTCCTGTTTCTTCTCCTCTTCCTCTTCCTCCGAGCTGACCTCCTGCTCCTTCTTTTCAAGTGTCTGCACCACAAAAAAGAACCAAAATCAGCGCACTACGAGGCTTTCAATAGGTCTAACCAGGTGGATGACGCTGGATCCAGACCCAGGACTAGAGCTGAGAAACACTGACTCTTCCTCAGCAGGGATCAATTTACCAATAACGGTCAAGTCGTAAAGGATCAATTAAAAATGAGCCAATGAAATCAATCACATAAGAACCACGAAACTGATCTGATCACCAAGCATGTCAATAAACAACAGGGAATCAATTAGAAAACTGGTCCCAGTCAACTAATTAAAGCAGGAGCTCCATCCTGTGTCCAGTCCTGTTCTCACCTCCAGTTTGCGGATGATCTCCTCCTTGTCCACACGCTTCTGCTGGCTGCGCTTGGGGACCTGCAACGGCTCTGAGGGAGACAACAGGTGGTGGAGAATGAGTCCACCAGCACAGAGTGGACCAACCCCAGACCGAGGCCAGCAGCCCTGTTGTGATCCGTCACCGAGGCTTAGCTTATAACTGCCTTCATGAGGAACTTCAGTCCCAGCTGCTCAGATCGGTTATTAAATCTCGGTAACAGAACAAATTCACGTCCTGTACGGAAAGATGTCACAGATTCCGAACTGAGCACAAAATCGTGAACCGTGTGAAAGGACCGTAGGTCGCCATGTTGTTGCAAAGCCCTGGTCTCTCCGCAGGCGAGAGCGAGAGTTTGTGAGGATCGCGCCCCTTCCCGCCCACTAGTCCCTGTAATGACCAACGGACTGAACCGGACGAGCAAATCAGTGCAGGCTGTGCTGCAGACACTTCACCGCAGAAATGTTGCGACGTGACCTGCAGGCAGAGTCAACAAGTAAGGAGTATTTGTTGGCGGAAATGTCTCGAAGTCGTGAGCCATATTTCTATCGGATTAAAAGAGACGTTTTCACAAGCCTGCTTGTTTACAGCGTAATAGGGCCACTTCACATAACCAGATGTTTTGTGCACTCATTCCGAGTCACAGAATATGGCGCTGTGTATACCTGGAGAATTTACACCTTACTGTGTAACTACCCTTATTGTGGTTTGAAAAGCACTCATTAGTGTTGATGCTTTCTAACCCCGAAATATAAAAATACTGTTGTATTAGCTACTAGCTACTCTTCAGTGATAAGGGATAGCGTGGATTAGCGGGTGAGATTTTGGACGAAGCAAGTGGTTGCAGGTACAAGACCCAGCTGTGGACACTGCTGGTCCCATCCTTGAGGAAAATCACATACCGGGCTCGCCGCTGAGCCCACCCGAGGTAAACGAGGTAGCAGCAAGGGCTGAGCTGCCAGAACGCTCAAGTGAGGCCTTTCACCTTTCGTTGGACAGCTGACCTTTCACCTTTCGTTGGACAGCTGACCTTTCACCTTTCACCTTTCGCTTGACAGCTGAAACTCTTCTGCAGGAGAGCAGGAGAGGGCCTTGAGCAGCTTCAGCCTACACTGAGCTCAATACACACAGTAACGCAGCGCTGGGTCAGTCCCGCAGGACAAACAAGATCACCCCGACTGTCCGAGCTCAGGATGAGACCCGTCAACGAGGCTCAGCAGCTGAGAGCTGGCCACGTAATGACAACTGGGAGACACAGGCGTTGCCAGGACTGACTGGGAAGCCCTGGTCTCTCAGTCTCGGGGTCTCGCGCTGCCCCCTGCCTTGGCCTGCCATGCCATGCCAGCACTGCGCCCGCCCCCCTGGGGTACTCACTCTCTTTCGGGGGCTTCCTCACTCTGATCCGCAGCTCCCTGGGCAGCCGGTTCCAGTCTGAAACACAGACGGGCGCACAAGGGGGTTACAATCGCCGCCCCCTCCCAGACCCAGCAAACCGCTGCCGCCAAGCCGCGGGAAAAACCTCCCAGAGGCAGCTGGCAGCTCCCCGGCGCGGAGACCACAGGCCCCAACCAACATGTGATCCGTCACACACCGTCCATCACGGGTGAGCTGGGGATACCGGGAGATCATACCGATCACACCGCCGAAACCCGACTAGTCAGCGGCTGGACCACCCTGCAGCTCCCAGCTGGCAGCCCCACTGGAGCTCAGCAGGTGTGAGCCTGGTCAGTGCCTGGATGGGAGACTCCTGGGAAAGCTGAGGGGTTCTGTTGGAAGAGGTGGTTAGTGGGACCAGTAAGGGGCGCTCACCCTGCGGTCTGTGCGAGTCCTAATGCCCCAGTATAGTGACGGGGACACTGTAAAAATGGTACTGTTCTTTGGATGAGACCCAGGTCCTGACTCTCTGTGGTCATTTAAAATCCCAGGGCATTTCTCAAAAAGAGTAGGGGTGTTACCCCGGTATCCTGCCCTAGTTTTCCCCATCACTCTGTTCTCTTCCCCTCTGAGAGCTGGTGTGTGGTGAGTGGACTGGCGCACTCTGGCTGCCAGCATATCCTCCAGTTGGGGACTACATACTGGTGGTGGGGGAGGGGAGTCCTATATAAGTGTAAGAAATATTGCTATTAATTTATTGTATTAAATGGGTAAATCAGTATTCATTGAGACACTTGGATTACTACTGATCTAAAATGTGTCACATTTTGTTTCTTTGTAAGCCTTCTATTAGAGAAAGACTCTAACACCATGTTATGGAAGTCCCTGTGGTACACACGTGGGGAAAGTTTAATGACTGCCACCCACAAGCCATGACGCACTGAAATGTACTACAAGCAGTGAGATGCACTTCATAATGTCGGTGCATCACTTTCTTGGGAAAAGGATGTACAGAAATGAGACAAATTAAAATTTCACCACCAGAAAAGGCAGTTTTCAAATTTGCTAACCACAGGAAGTTGAAGATCATAGGGTTACAAAAGCGCTTTGAGTGGAGTGTCCAGAAAAGTGCTATATTAAGTGTAAGCAATTATTATTATTATTACGAGAGGAGACATTGGCCCCATCAAGCCCGACTGAGTTAATAGTTAACTGACCCAAAGATCTGAACCAGCTGTTTCTTAGAAGGCGCCAAAGTATCAGCTTCCACCCAATGGATGGGTAGCTTGTTCCAGACTGCTACCACTCTCTGTGTAAAGGAGTGCTTCCTGTCCTGATTGGAAGATCTTATCCGGCTGTTTCTTGAAGGGAGCCAGGACGCGCCTAACAGTACTTCAGATGACGCTGCAAGACACCGCCCAGCTGTCCCACCGAAGAGAACTCACCAGGTGTCCACTCGATGGTGTTGTCTGTCGGCTCCGAGCTCTGGTACTTGTCGGAGTAGCGCTCCACATCTACGAAACAAGCACAGTCACAACAGGCACGCGCCAGTAAGCAGGGGCAGACGAACGCAACGGTTTATCAGTTTAGCGACCCCTGCAGAGGATGACAGGCTCAGCCAGTCCAGGACCGTCTCAGTACGAGCCCATCGGTGTGAAGCTCCCTGGCTGAACCAGAGGAAGGGCTCATGCCCTGAAGCCCTCGTTTTCACGGAGACACCACCGGACTCTCACTAGCCCCTCCTGCAGCTGGGAAATCCTGATCGCGGCGGAGGCCCTGACAGTCTGCTTTCGAAAGTCAGAGACGCCCCCTCAGCCCCTGGGCTTCGGGACCCCCGCCCCCCTGCGGTACTGACCTTTCTTTGGCACGGCGGGCCTCACGAAATAGGGCAGGTTCTTCATGGCGCCGCGGAGCTCCTGCTTCAGCGCCAACATGTACTCGGCCTCCTCACCCGCCTGCAGGGGCACCGGCTTGTTCTCCATGGGCTGTGGGGCACAAGGAACAGCCTGGCTCTGGGTACAAAGAATAGCCCAGCTCTGGGCACAAGGAACAGGGCCGCAGCCTGGCTCTGGGCACAAGTAACAGCCTGGCTCTGGGCACAAGGAACAGTCAGGCTCCGGGCACAAGGAACAGTCTGGCTCCGGGCACAAGGAACAGCCTGGCTCTGGGCACAAGGAACAGCCTGGCTCTGGGCACAAGGAACAGGGCCCAACCTGGCTCTGGGCACAAGGAACAG